GAATGTTGATGTTGAATTTTTGATGAGTAGCTAAATTCGTTAACTAGGGCTAGGGGATAATTGCTTCGGTTCAATTTCGTTTGCGTGTATGTTAATTGCTCAATCTATACAAGTTGTGTTTAACCTAGGGTTGGATGACTGATCACCATCTTAATCTACCTAATCGATCCTTAGAACCGAAAGAGGAGGAATCGATCGATCTAGGCTCGTTTAGAATAGACTTGTTCGGAAACGTATTGTCTATGTGCTAGCTCGTTTAGAATAGACTTGTAGTATAGTGGTGAGTATTCCCGCCTGTCACGCGGGTGACCCGGGTTCGATCCCCGGCAACGGCGCCAGAATTTGACCGCGCGTCGCAACGCGGCAAAATTAATATTTATATTTTTCCTTAACTTACTTCTACCAACTAGTAGTAGTAGCGAGCAAGGGTCGAACCCAAGAGAGTGTGAATCAAATTGTGATATTCTTGTATTAATTGAAATTAAGAAAGCAGTAAATGGGGGGATTGGATTAATAACTAATCTATATAAGAATAAAATCTAAACAATGAAAATAAAAATAAAATAAAATAAATAAGAGAAATTTCTAGTTCACGGTTCTGTCTACACCCTCAACTGACTCGTCTAATCAATTCTGGCATCAAATCTCGCTATCTTATGAAATTACTAGCCCTAGGCAACGACACGGTCTGTTACCCGAATTTTTCCTTATTTTTAATCTAACCGCGAGACGCTCTACGATTAGACCTGACCTCTTGTACAGTCTAGAAAACGCTTCTTAGATTTAATACAATCAGTCGCTTTACGTATTAGAAAAATAGGCTAGACTAAGTAGTGACGCGTTCGTTCACTTAAATAGGCCGTGTTATCCCCGGTAGTTACCATCTTCCGGATACCACTTGCGAATTAAACACATCAACAATTACGGATTGAAGGCCTAATTCAGGTGTAGATATGTAAAGCCTAATCTAGGTGATCAATCTAAACAAGACTAAACACATCATGGTTAATTATTCAAAATAACACAAACAATTCCAAAAAGATAACTCCATAATCAACCATGTAAATCAATCAAACATCATCAAGTACGTAGGGTTCGACATCCCCTGAACTATAAATAAAAACTAGCCTAACATAATAAATAAAAATAAATGAAAGAGAAAGAGAATAGAATTATCCTCTTTCGTGTGCGGGTGCGGTCTCCCTCCGCGATTGATCGGGCTACTCGTCTTTCTTCTCTCTGTTCGCGAATCCTTTTCTTTCCTCTGCTCTTACGGCTGCGGCTTTTCTCTGGCTGTTATGCGTGAATTCTAGTCTTCATTTGTCCAAAGGAATTGGACTTTCATATTAATCATGGGCCCAATATTTTTTTCTTTTTCTTTTCACGTGAGTAGAATTCCACTTCCAACAATTGATTCTATGGCCAATATCAATTATTTGTCTCAAGCCCAAACTAATCTATTGTGGCCCTTCATTTTCTGGTATTGGGCTGTCCGGCCATAGCTCACGTTAATTTCCGTCCAATACGTCGCGTCCGCATATATACTCCAAAATACTGAAAAATAACATATAAAACATCAAAGCAAATAAATCCATCCAAATAATAAATAAGTCAAAGAATGTAAATGTGCGAATAAATTAAGCATATAAAAGTACACTATTAAATATATAAAACGCGCACATTTTTCGACCAATCAGGTTGGATGACTGATCACCATCTTAATCTACCTAATCGATCCTTAGAACCGAAAGAGGAGGAATCGATCGATCTAGGCTCGTTTAGAATAGACTTGTTCGGAAACGTATTGTCTATGTGCTAACTGATTCGATAATTGTTCATTTATGTTTATTCTCTTGTTACGTGAGTTTTTGATAACGAATCTCTTGATTAGTTAGTTTTTTGAGTCCTTTAGCTGAGTAATGGATTTCTCGTTAAATGTATTGAGAACCGGAAGCGATTGTCCCCGACACCCTAGTCCCTTTACCACTATTTGAATCGTGTTTGAAGTTGTGTGATTGAAATTGCCTTGTTTGAGAATCATTAGTAATTAATCTCTTAGTTGATAATCGAAACCAACAAATTGAATTAGAGTGTTTAGGACTTGTTCTCTATTTTCGTGTGATTGAATATCCTTACAAATAATCCGGCTGACCTTCCTTGAGACACGACCCGTTTTTTTAATCTTTCGATTTAACTCCGATAAAATAACTACAACAATACCCGTTGAGAACCTTCGATTGGAGCCCAATCTTCAGGAGAAATATGATCAGAGGATAAAAATGAAACTGACCAAGTGTATCTTCATCTGGTTAAGGTTTGCATTCCTGTGGATTTCTGGATTTCTAATGTGTGTGTGTTTTTGGTTGATGGACAATGGAATTTATGGGAGGTTTTCTGTGGTGGGGTTGGGCTGTATTTGGTGTTTGGAGTATGGTTATTGGGTGGGGTATTTTCTTTTTCTTCTTTTGATTTTGGTGATTTTGATTGTTAATCACAACAATGTTCATCATATAGGATATAAGAGAAGTTGTTATATAGATCTTGTTGGGAGTATGGACTGTCAGTTTGAGCTGTTTGATTGATGGCAGTTATATAACTTACCATGACCCTGCTTACTTATTCCTACTATCTCGAGGTGGCATTAAAACATACCTCATTTCTGACTCGATTGAATATCAAGGTTTCACTAAACTATAGCAGTATTACTGGTCCTCAAACAAGATTTTCTTCATGATGTTTCTGGCTGGTATACTGGATGTGTTAGATGTTTATGGGTGACATTTCATTTTAGGAGTCTGATTTCAATGAGTTTAATAAATAGATTTATTTTAATCATTTTATTTTAAATATTATTTTAATATATTTTTAAAATCTCACTAACAATTAACCATATCACATTTTTTAAAATTAGTTATGGTCAACCAAAATAACTCATTTTGGGCCACTTTTTAAAAAAATAACTATGCTTAACCAAAATAACTCATTTTGGACAAATTATTTAGTAAACAAGCTAGCCCTAAGTAAAACTTAAAATAAATATTCTAAATAAAGAATGTAAATACTTTAAACTTTAATATTACGTTCAAACGAATATTACCACTTTTTAAATTCATTCTCTCCCCTCTCAGAGCACTCGCTCAATAGAGTGGCCCTAAAAATATGGGGAATCTATATGTTTTAATTGCCTATAAAATCCCAGTCTTTTATAGAATTACAAATAAAACTCAATTTTTTTTATATATATTTGTAAATAAATACCAAACTTTTATTATGTGTTGCAAATTTGTAGAGAACTATTTTCCGGCCAAGTCGAGCTGACGTGTCCGATTAAAAATCTTACATGGCACGGAAGAGTATTGCGTGGCAGTCTAATTTTTTCACATCATATGCCCATAGGATTTGAACCCCAAACCGCAAATTCCAAGAACCCTAAATATGTACCCAAAATCAAAGAACTCTGATTTGAACTCCTCAATAGCCCATACTTCAATAGTGCAATTTCATTTGAAGTTTAGCCTAATTAAAGCAAATTCCAATTATTTTTTTCTACATTTACAAAAAATGTCTTCATGTTTGTGTCTCCTTAACAAATCTATCTGAAATATTATGGATAATATATGTAAATATTTATAAACGAGTAAGTGACTTGGGGTGAGGTTGGAGTAGAAGCAAAGTAGTAGAAGATCCAGCACGAACAACAAAGTAGACGACAGAAAGTACAGTCGTAAGCAGTCCAAGAACAAGACTGCTACTAGAAACAGCTTTAGAGTAGAAAAATTAATTAGGGTTCTTGAATTTTGGGGTTCAAGTTTAGGGTTATTAGATTTTGAGATTTTGGGGTTCAAATCCTTTTGGCATATTATGTAGAAAAATTAGGCTGCCATACAAGACTCCTCCGTGCCACGTAAGATTTTTAATCGAACACATCAATTTGACTTGGCCGAAAAATAGTTCGGAGACAAATTTGCAACACATAATAGAAGTTTGGTATTTATTTTCAAAAATAAAAAAGTTGAATTTTATTTGCAATTTTATAAAAGTTTGAGATTTTATAGCCAATTAAGCCAATTCATATTCTCCTTTTCTCCCTCTTCCTATTCTTACTAGTATAACACCCGTGTATTACACGGGTGCTTGTTAAAAAATTATTTTTAAATTTTAAAATTAATGAGAAAATTATATTAAATTTAGTTTATTTTTTTTACAAAAAAAAAATATATTACTATATATTTTAGAATGATATGTGTTACTTATGACTTACATGTGTTATATTATATTAGTTTTTATAACTTATATCATATAACTACTTGAAATATAAATATATTAGTTGATAAATAATTTTATTTTTCTAATTAATACTAAAAAAATTATTATTGTTATAAAGATAAATATAAATTATTTTTTTATACATACAATATGGATGTTAAATCGAAACTCATCAAAAGAAGATTAATTTGATATATTACATATGTAAAATTGATAAAAAAATACAAAAGTTATTAACTTTTAAAATATATATACAATTCAATAATTATAATAAGAAATGATATTAAAATACAATTAATATATGTAACATGATCATAAATAATCAACATATTTATGTAACATGATTATAAATAATCAACATATTTATAGCAATCAAAACCTAATTATTTTTTATTTGAAATTAAATTAAAATTTAATGTAATTTTGTCACATATGTTTCGGAAGCACCAGAAGCAGTCAAGTAAGTTCAGCGCGTTCTGGATTAATACATAAGGAGAGAGGATTAGATATGCATACCCGTGGATATAAAAAAAAAAATAATACCAAAAGAGAAGGGAAAAGAGATACCAAACTAACTGCAGTTCACAAAGCCATAAGAGGCGTTTCTTATTTTTTCTTTCATAAAATTTGAATCCCTTGATGAACAAATTCGATTATTCTCGTTGCTAATTAAATTATTGGATTTGTGTGCATAAATTAGGGTAATCGAATATCTGCAGATTAGAGAAATAACAATGGCTTTGACGGAGGAAGAGCTTGACATGATGATCAACTGGGACGTTAGCTCGTTGGGACGACTATTCGAACAACCGGCGATGAACAACAACTCGGATTCTAGCTCTTCCGGACAATTAGGGTTTCGGTTTCAACATCACGAACCCACTGCCATCCAATCGCCTCCACTTCAAACCCTAATTCCTCCACTTGAAACGGGAACATCATCTCGTGGTGCTCCAACACAAGCCTGCTCGACCAACTTATCGGGACCAATCGTGCCCCTGTGGATTCAACATGAACAATTGCGTGAGCGTGCTTTGAATTTGATTCAATTGCGCAACTCAATCATACGGAGGCGTCGAATACATACAAGACACGGACTGACGGAGGCTGACTTCGCAGGCTTGAAAGAGGATAAAATTTCGAAATACCTCAAGATCATTACGCATAATAATAATATTGATGATGAAAAAACTGTGTGTGCTATTTGTCTAGACAATTTTTGTGGAAAGGATATGCAGGTTGCAATAGTGGATGGGTGCGGGCATAAGTTTCACGCTTGCTGTCTCAAGAGGTGGCTCCAAAGGAAAAATATTTGTCCTCTCTGTAGAAGGATCGCCATTAGATTTTTATAATGAACTATTTATTTGTTTGTCTATTAAATCATGCATCTATTCGAATCTCCGAAGAAAGTGCCTGATTTTCTTTTGGATTTTTATGTCGCGATGATGATGAGTATTGGTTTGAGTTACATGTTCCTGATTGTTATTGTGTATCTGCTTTGATTTGTACTTCTTGTTTTTTTTCTTGAGTGTGTGTGCATGCGTTTGTTCATGACTGGAGTGTTGAGCTTATGAGCCTTCTCCTTGTTCGTCTCGTCCTGTGCCACTGAGTCTGTGTGGGACGATGTCTTAGTAAAGGGAAAGGTTTTGGTGGGAGGGTTTTGGTGACGAGGCTCGATTCGTTGGTATTCACAGCAATTACTCTCTGCGTTTGTCTATATGTCATGTTCTGCAACCTTGAACTTTGTGTAGATCTTGGCTTAAACTAATAATCAGTTTTTTCTGTACAATGTGGAGTTTTTTATCTATCTTCTTGGGAGCCCATGTACTATTCACAACCTTGTTGTGAATATTGCGTTTTACAATTCCGATGTCTCTGGTTCTCTCATTCCATATTGTTAGCCCTTCATTGTTAAACTAATTCCGATGTCTCTGGTTCTTTCATTCCATATTGTTAGCCCTTCATTGTTAAACTAATTCCGATGTATCTGGTTCTTTCATTCCATATTGTTAGCCCTTCATTGTTAAACTAATTCCGATGTCTCTGGTTCTCTCATTTCATATTGTTAGGCCCTTCATTGTTAAACTTCTGTAAGCTTAAGCGCAACTTTAGTAGGCCTGTTTAACTCAACAAACAAGAATGAGCTCGCGCCAGAGTTTGAGCTTGGTAAGTGAATGAGGCCGAAGCCTAAGCTCATCCATTGAAGTACAAAATTTGCATTCAATATGTTGTATTTTTCTCTTTTCCCTTTTGAAAGACCCGTAAAATAACAAGCCAATGATGAGAAAGTACAGTTGTGTGTGGACTGCATAACTCATGCAACACAATTAAATAACCTAACTGTGTTCATTAGTTCACTTGTATACAGTTATAGGCAGGTATGAGTTTGCCCTGAACAAATACAACCTCCAGAATTTAAACTCGAAAAGACAGCACAAATCTGCAGCCACATTGAATCCGGTTCCAATTATCGCCGTAAAATTAGCCCAAGATATCGAAGGGTGAATAAACTCTTTCCATTCGAGATCAAAATTTATACTGATTGTTATAGATTACAGTACTCGAAAGCCTACACTCAGCTTGAGAAACTCAACGAACAGGCGATGCAAAGAAGATGACAGCAAAATAAACGAAAAATCCAGCTAAAAGAATCCCTGCGTATATGTAATTCTGCGAAGAGTGTGTCGGGAATTTGTATTCGATACTGCAGCACTTCATCTTCTCCCTCTCACTGTTCAAAACATGCTCCACGTATCTGTAGGTTAGGCACCGAAACAACAATAAAAACCATTATTAAAACAAAAAAAAGGAAAAAAAAAAAAAAAAACAAGAGAAGACATGGGTTCCACATTTTAAAAGAAAAGAAAATCAATATATTAAGGAAAACATACTGCTGAGTGAATATCGAGCTTTGAAGTATCTCAGAACTGTTTGCTTGGGCATCTTGGAGTCTATGATCGTATAAAAAGGAAGACAGGTCTACTAGCTGCTCCTCAAGGCTCTGGAAGTAACAGGGTACAATAAAACACAAATATAAAACCAACATAGAGGTTTTAGGCTAAAGTAACAGGATATAATAGAAGACTTACATCCAAATACTTCTCCAATCGTTCAACTAATTCGTGAGGAAATGGTTCTGGCAAGTTGGTCTTCTTCTTGTAGAACTTCTCAAGCCAAAGCTCAGTGGTTGATTTATTCTTTTTACCCTTTACTAGTTCTCCCAGTGGAGTTTTCAGGTGTTCTGAAGCAAAGGCTTGAACAGCCTGACAAAGATGTTGAGTACACACAAATCTATGTCGACAGAGAAAAAGAATATTCCAATAGATTGACTAATTATGAAATCACCTCAGATGTCTCTCGGATTCGGTGGAGAGCTGAATCAACACGGGCATATATTGTATTCCTCTGCAGAATTAAATTGCACATTTGAATTGAAACAAATATCAAAGTCCACTCGTAAAAAATAATTATTTCTCTTTTTTCTTTTTCCAAAAATTTAGATTAAAAACCTCAATGGTTCTTTGGATAGTCAGCCCCACTCTCAGAGTAGAGCAAAATATGTGGAACCACAATAATCTTGACAGCTTTGCAGCTGATGAGGGAAGAATGAGTCAGCAATTAAAAGAAAAGAAGAGGCTTACCAATGCTACATCCCGAAGCAATTCACTAATCCGAGAAATGTTTGAAAATGGTCCAAACGGATGACAACCGGCTGCCAAGAGCCAATTCACCACAGGCCTCTCATGAATGTGAGAAGCTTTTTCATATGGTGCAGTCAGACCACCCACAACAGAAGCCAGCCCGGCCAGTATATGGCGCTGGGCTTGTGATGGTACGGCATGTCTTCTCTCTAACTCTGAAACATAACTGCCAAAAAAAAAGAAAGTAAAAGATTTTAAACAATAATAATAGCGATAGAACTAACCACTAATTGAAATGACGGAAGATAAGATTGAAGGCATTTATCAATTAAAGGGGCAACAAGATTCACTATATAGAAGGAATTCAAGAAAGTAAAATATTCCACACATACGTAACCAAAGCTGTCATACCACAAACTGCACTTGTGGCTAACTACAAGTAATTATTGAATTGAAAGGCATGGTTTGCCACCCTCAAGTGTACTTACTTCAAAGGTATCTTCTCACTTTGATGCTGAAGCACAATAACTACATCGTTACTCGTCCACACAAGACTATCATCTTCCATCATAAGTTGTTCATCTACATCCGCTAGTGACAGAACAAAGCTGCAATATCAAAGAAAATTATTCAAAATAAAATATATTTAATATAACAAACACTGTTAAGTGAAGTGCATCATCAACCTCCGCCATAGAGAAGGGTATGTTTCTACCCAGTAAACTAGTTTAAAAAGTTATCATGAAATTAGGAAAAATATTTATCTGCTCACACTGGAACAACCCTGGTTCCGTAAGTTCGATACAAGTCTCCTTTCTTCTTTTGTTGTGATAACCTCCTTTTCTTATCCTTTTGCCGCTTTGAACCATAGGACGACCAAATAGGCTTATGCTTTAGGATGGAATCCCCAGTTCCATCTTTGTCATCCATCCATGTCTGAAGAACAAACTAACAATTAGGAGCAAGTAAATGAAAATGAAAGGGACAGAGCACAAACATGGTTGTAACATAAGTTCTTGAAACTACTTGGCAAACATATGTGCCATAATTGAGCAGAAAACTCTAACCTGGCGAAGGAAAAATCTGCTTGAAAGTGTAGGGTCTGAGACCTCAAGTAGCCCAGCTGCAAGCACATCTGCTGATCTTTCCATCTCCTGCAGTTGATTAAAGCTCAAATGAAGGTCTTTATTTACTCAATAACAGTAATCAAAATATATTCTAAAAAAGAGTTGCTGTGTGTAAGGTGAAAAAAACCACAATGAACATCGGATTAGAGGTAGGCATAATATATTACAGTAATTCAAAATTAAAAAATATAGAACAAAATATATAATAGAATATTCAGGAACCTACTTCCTTAAGAATAGCACCATCCAAATATGTCTTGGTATGAACATGAAAGCGGCCGTCCTTCTTGGTTTCTTGAATGGAATGGCCCCTCATTGCTTTCGAGACAGCAATGGCTAACTTTTCATGGCGATGTAGAGCGTGTGAACCTGCGACTATCACGACTTCCTGCCCTTCATGAACCATTTTCTTAACCTGACGTAATCAAACAATGCAGAACTATTTTTTTTTTACCAATCAAACTTAGATAAAAAATAATGAAAACCAAGATCCAGGGAATCTCACCTCAGCCTCAATGGCTTGAACATCTATACTGTAATTGTGGTCCTTAGCCATGATATTGTACCTGTTATGATTCTGAAGGACAATAATGGGTACAAGTAACCTAGTAGTCATATCGACAGTTTCATACCTGGCCAAAGGAAGAATAAAAATATAAACCGAGGCAAGAAATATTATCTGGAACCACCCAGACGGTAAAGGGAAAAAATTACATTGTCAATTAACCGAGGAGGACAAACAACATAATACTAGCAATATTAGAAAGTCAGCGAAGATGCAGCAGAAATGAACAGTAAGCTGGGCGGGCCAGCAAACATGGTGTCTTATGTATTTCAGACAAATCAATTCCAATGATGCTGCAAAGCCAAAATCCCTCCTAAGTTTGCTAGAGGGAAAAATTATGCAGTCGTATCTTTATAAATCACGCTGAGTATATGAAATTCCTGTTGCAATCTGATATTAATAAAAGTCTGTTAGAAGAACCTTCATATTGTGGGAATAAGAAGAGCATACCTAACATCTGGGGCTATAACATGTTCTACTGTGGTTGCAATCACAGCGGCTAATTGTCCTACAAATATATCATGGGCAGATTCCACGTTACTTGGCCCTGATCTATGAAACACCACATTTTGCAGTCGAGGTAATGTTCTAGGATTCACACTGCCTTCTTCAGTTTCAATCTTCCCATATGTGCAGGGCCCAGCAGAGAGATCAATCACAACAAACCTGAGTTGTGATAAAGTAATATCAGAGACTTCATAAAGAGAAAATCAGTTGTAACTCAAAGAAACTATTATTCCAGATAGTCAATACTAGAAAAATCACGCAATTTCACTTAAAAAGTATTTTGAAGTTGTAGTACCTGCCAGATCCAAGCCAAACCTGAGATGCACCCCCTCCATTGTACCGGTAACGATATATATAATCCCCCTCTTGGTGCTTCATATCCTCTTCACTTAAACTTGTTATTTGCCCATACATTAGACTATCAAGATCAATCTCCTTGTTCCTAGGATCAATTCGGACCTGTCCAGGAGTAAACAAAAGTACATGCAGTCAGTAATCAAAGATTCTTAAAGGAGTTACCCACTACAATAAAACTAAGACTGTTCAAACCAACTTCCCAGAAACCAGTAAAATGCAACATTAGCAATTCATAACTTTGAAGCTTAGAAAGCAACTAGGAAGCATCATAGTTGAAATAAACTGACCTTATCAAAGTTAACCATAAAAATAGCAGTTGGCTTAGGTCTGTCCATTTCCTCAACAGGGTGTCCCTCATTGTCTATGTCTTCTATGTCAAACAGGTAAGAATAAAGCTTCTCAAACTCAGGTTCCATTGTTGTTGCTTCCACCTCAAACAGGGGAACTTCCCTCCCAAAATCTGCCTGTAAAGCTATGAAGTTCACAAAATATTCCATACAAAATCAAGAATAACAACATCAAGGTGAGGCAGAACATGAAATACGGTGCCACCTCTCTAGCGGTGCCAGCTGGAGTCATAGCCGTTTTCAGTGTTTTCTCCAATGATATCAATTCTGGCTGCCCAATCTGCCGAGCAAAGTTAAAAGAGATCATGGGTTAAATTGAGAAGTAAAAAACTATTGACGCGAAGCAATGTGTGCATACAGGTCCAAGGAGAAACTCAAAAGGATAACTTACCGGGAATGCATTGAAGACTACGTGATGCTCAATATCAAGCGGTTGGCCAGTCTCTAAACACGAAGGTCTGTGAGATGGGAAGCCAACTCTCAAAAATTCCTCCAATTTATGAGAATCTATTCTGTACCTATAGCCCCCATCACCATTGAAGCCGATAAGGACCACATTCACTTCAAGAGGAACTTGAAATGGAACCTGAGAGAGAGCCAAGGATGTCAGCAGACAAATTCAAAAGCTCAAAACTATTTGACTCCCACATTTTCTTTTTTCTTTTTTATTTGATACACACATGCATCTCCGGATTACATATCCGATAGAGTAAAAGTTGTCGTGTACTGACTCAAGAGAATTAGCCATCAAAACATCCCAAGATGATACTTACACCAACTAAAACCCTTAATTTCAAGAATCACTACAACAGTTGCGAATTGAATTTCCATGAGTGCATCACTTCAAAAACACCATTTCACTTAACAAACAAATAATCCATTTAATTCTAACCAAAATTGGCAGCTCCATCGAAAAAAAAAAAA